AAGGACGTAAGCAGCAATAGAAGCAGCAGCAGCAGCAGCAGCAGAAGAAGAAGAAGAAGAAGAAGAAGAAGAAGAAGAAGAAGAAGAAGAAGAAGAAGAAGAAGAAGAAGAAGAAGAAGAAGAAGAAGAAGAAGGAAGAGCATGAGGAGATGAAGAGCAGGAGATGAAGTGGAGGAGAAGAGGAGAGAAAGAAAAGATACACAGTGATTGTTTTAGTGACCATATCTTTAATTTGTTGATGAAGACTTTCTAACCGCAATATGCCGTATGTTGTCATTCCTGATTGTGTTTAATGGGAAGCTCGCTAGTTCTGCTACACGTTTTGATGGTTTTTGTTTGTTTGTTCTGTGAAAGGTTTCCGCGTGTAATATTAAATAGAATACAAAAAGCGGCAGCTATGCAACTAGACATAAAAATAAGAGCTTTGTAATAAACTACGTATTATACATTTTTGTCTGTTTAAATAATATTTCAAACACAAAAGACAGCAAGATTGATTAAAGCATATTTGTAAATACGATAAGTAAGTTTTAGTAGAGAGAAGAAACAAACATTTATTGCTTTATCAGTATTACTATATATATATATATATATATATATATATATATATATATATATATATATATATATATATTATATATATATATATATATATATATATAAATTTGCGATCATTGCCTGTAAACTCCGATGGAAAGTTCTGGTTATTTATCTATGTCTGGACTTTAGTCTTGTTCCAGAAAGTGCGTTTTGCGTGCACATCTGTTTTACAGTCTGGCCTATTTGCATGTATACTGTTGGCTCCTCAACTTCAGACAGATGCACTACGACTTCGAAGAAATTAAAGCACTATTTAGTAGACTTTTACGACATGCTTGATAGGAGGGTAATGGGTGAATTCTTTTTTCCCTAATATGCGGTCCAGAAACCCACATTCTTTTGGTACACATTTAAATATTCTAAACACAAAAAATATATTTCCTGTACAGAAGTAAACTGTTTTAATAAAGCCAAACTGTACATTATTAATTTGGCTCCAGTAAGCCAACCTGACAAATAAAGTTGATTACTGTCAATCTTGTTTTCCTTGGGGCAAAGACTGAGCGGGTTCTAACACTCGTGATAGTTGATGTTTTCATTGCTTTCCCCGTGCCCGGTCCTCATTTCTTCGGATCACAACTCAGCACTGTCGAATCGTCTTTGTGCGTGTGTTGATGTTCAAATTTTGTGACACATTGCTGATTTCTTCTTCTGCTATTTTTTTTTTTTTAATGAGAAGGATGGTTGCCAGGCTGTGTTTGCATTTAGACTGTGTTATCTGCGCCTAGGTTAGTTGTGATTCCTTTACAGGACGTCGCAGAACCAACTACAACAGCCCCTGGCTTTTGTGTGGTTTTTCTAGGCAAATTTACGTCCAGTAGTTTGTATATGGTCGGCTCTTTGGCTAAGTCGATGCGAACGCTTCGCTTCGTAATCCCGGGATGCCAGGTTCGATTCCAGATGCGGGCAATGCGCCTTGCGTTGGTTTCGACAGTGGTATCAAGAAAGCCGACCGTCCAGAAAGCAATGGCAAACTACTGGATGTAAATTGTTTAAAGAAACCACACAACAGCCAGGGGCTGTTAGGGTCGGTTCTGCAACGTCCTGTAAAGGATACGCAACTAACTTAGTTTGTATATGCGCCTAGCGGCCCCAAATATCCGATATTTTAGCAAACCCTGTATTAGTCGCCTTTTACGACATGCTTATTAGGAGGCATCATCATCAAGTGCCTTGCCAGCTGGCGTAGGTTTTCATGTCTCTCCACGGATCTCGGTCTTTGGTGTGGTGGATCGATTTCACTGATGATATTTTTCTATGCTTTAAGCCATCCACCATCATTTCTCTTAGTCTGCCTCAGCCTCTTCTACAAGTGACCTTTCAAGTCGTTTCGATATTTTTCAGTGATCGTTTTCTCATCACATGACCAAAGAACTTTGATTCCTTCTCATTGTTGTTCGCCTGAAATAAGTTGTCTATATCAGCAGTTGTGTTCCTCGCGTATATTTCACCGTTTTTTTTTTTAAATAGTTTTGTTTAGTGGTCCGTAGAGTTTACGTCTTCTGATGTTCTGTCTGGCCAAAAAGTTTGCCTTAATGTGTCATGTTCGGCGCAGTACCGGAGTACATATTCTGCGGTCTGGAACGACTTTCCACGTGTCCGAATGGCTGATACGCCTATCTTGAATAGTGTGTGCATGTGGATGCGTAATTGGTTGTGCCCTGTTTTAATACTACCGATAATGGCCTGGTCTGTTGTGTACATAAAAGAAAAGCCTTGCTGTTGCTGTTAAACTGCAAGCATTTGTGGGACGAGACAACGGTGATCAGGAAATTGTATCATCGTTATCTTATTGAGCCTCTTACGTCACATAGTGCTGGTACTCTTTGCCTCCATTTCATTCTGTTCAGTCTTTTCGATATCATGAACAGAATCCAGTCCAGCTATATTGACCGACTGACTGACGTTTCACCCCACCAGAACATCACACCGAGCGTTAAACACCTGATGACACAAAGCCCCACTATTTGGATGAGTATCACCCGGGGACAGGTCCCATAAATCCGGTTCGACCCATAGGTTGGGTTATATTAGGGCCCCCGGCAACAACCAGGGTGGGACTTTAAAACAACAACAAAAAATTGCGTCTAACATGGGGATGCAGTAAATAAAATTCATTGAACTCTCTCATCGACGTTTGTTATTAGGAAGAAACTTTCTGGCAAAATAAAGGAAGGAAGGAATGCATGCATGAATGAATGAATGAATGAATGAATGAATGAATGAATGAATGAATGAATGAATGAATGAATGAATGAATGAATGAATGAATGAATGAATGGATCAGTTAGTGTGTCAGGGTGAGATTGAGTTAGTGAGTGAGTGCGGGAATGAATGAATGAATGAATGAATGAATGAATGAATGAATGAATGAATGAATGAATGAATGAATCAGTTAGTGTGTCAGGGTGAGATTGAGTTAGTGAGTGAGTGCGGGAATGAATGAATGAATGAATGAATGAATGAATGAATGAAGAATTAAAGCTTTTAGTTCCATAATGTCATAGGTAATGTCAGAAGGAATTGCGAATGACAACACTGATTCAGGGGCATACTTCTTGCAGACACATCCTTTGCAGAAAGGACATATGGTGCCAGAGTTCTTCAGAGTCGCTCACTAAACATGATGCTTGGTTATCATCATCATGTCTCAGGTCCTTTGCAGAACGTCGCTCTCATCACAGTCTGCCTAAAAGAAATTCGGTCTCTCGCCAGCTCTCTCACCTCGTGAACTTTCATATCCAAAGAGTCACTTGTATATCATGTACCCATCTTCGTGTAGGTCGGCCCCTGCCACCCATTTCTGATTTGATGCATTTGCTATTATTGTTGTTTAACCCACAGAGACTGGCGCCTAATAAGGCCAGCATATTTCAGCCTCGGAGACAAGATTCTGTTCATTAGCCAGTCTTTCTAAATGTTCAGAATTTTTATAATATCAGTATTTCTTTTCTTTGTGCAAGGCATTCTGACAATCTTTCCCTAGCATTGCAGCTCAAAAGCCCTGTGTTTCCTTCTCATGGTCTAGGTCACAACTCACATCCGTATGCTGCTACATGAAACATGCATACTCTCAAAATTGTAACTTTGATTTCTCATGACGGGAACAGGTAAATAAAACCCAGTTACGTAACCTGGGTTGATGAGACAGAAAGAGTTAAAGTCACTGCACTTGGGTCATTCCCATAGGTGATTCGTTCCCTTTCTCAGCAGCCATTATTTTGTATTAAGATCTTTTAACTTCTCATATGCTAACCCCTGTTCTTGAGATGTACTGTTTAATGCTCCCATGTAGTTCTCTAGAACTATCTATCCCAAGCATGTTTTGAATTGTCATTGGCCTAATGCAGGGGATCATATTTTCAACCACTTGATCTGCTGTTTCTCGATGAATCTAGTACAAGTTGTAATTCCCACAATGTGTCTCGTAGTTTCCTTGTTCACTTGATCTCGGGTGGTAAGGTTGGCGGCTTTCCTCGGGCATCTCATTTCGCAGGTGGTGATTTTGCTTATAGGCACTTTAGATATTGTCCATGTTTGGCACCGGTAGCTTAATGTTGGAATGAATATGCTCTTTATAATCTGTCTCTTTGCTCTCATAGTTATGCTTGAATGTGTTAGTAATGGTAACAACTAGTATACAAGTGCACTTGCTTTCTGATACCTGGTTTCTATTTCTCTGCCAATTCTATCATCTTCAGTGACCATCTTCCTAGAAATTTTAAATTCTCTAACTTGATTCAGACCGGAACCATTCAACTGCATGTGTAGCTGACTTTACCCTGTTAGTGTGATCTTGCAGTCTATTATCTTCAGGGTAGATCAAGCGATGGTCGTAAGCAAATAGTAGTTCGGTTAATGTGGATTACTTTGTCTTATTTGTGTACCTCGTGATTATAACGATCTATGTTATCTGTATTAGAACTTGCTTCTTTAGATATTCTGTCTATATAATGTTGAATAAAAGTAGGGAGAGCACACATCCCTGTCTCACACCTGTGTTGACTGTGAACACATCTGATAAGCCTTCTAGAGTTCTAACTGCACTTTGGCTTGTGTGGTACTTTTCTATGATGTTCCGTAGTAATTGTCTCTGTACTCAGTTGTTCTTAAGAACAACCCATAGATTGTTTATATCCACACTGTTTTCCTGATCTACAAAAACAAAATCCAGATTACCTATAAAACATCTTTATACAATGTTTAGTTGTCTGTGGTGCCTGTCCACAAAGGTAGTAAAACTATCGTTCTACAAAGGATCTGTACATTGGTGAAACAGCACACTTTTGAACTTCTAAAGAACTGGCGTGGAACAAAGCGGTCAACATCGTCAGCAATGGAGTAGTCACATCGTTAGCGGAACTAGCAAGTTAACGGGAGACAAATCTTAACAGACTGCAATGTCAGGTTGGCCCAGTTAAATTAAAGGATCCTTTTTAAAACCACCAGGGCACATTAGGCACATGATTCTAGACTCGTGGCTCTCAACCTTCCCAATGCCGCGACCCTTTACAGTTCCTCATGTTGTGGTGACCCTTTAGGCCTTTACTACAGTACACTCATGTTGTGGCGACCCTGTAATACAGTTTTTCATGTTGTGGCGACCATTTAATACAGTACACTTGTGTTGTGGCGACCCTGTAATACAGTTTTTCATGTTGTGGCGACCATTTACTACAGTACACTCATGTTGTGGCGACCCTGTAATACAGTTTTTCATGTTGTGGCGACCATTTAATACAGTACACTCGTGTTGTGGCGACTTTTTAATACAGTATACTCATGTTGAGTGTTGAGTATTAAGCGTGGAGTGTTGAGTGTGAAATGTTGAGTGTGAAGTGTTGAATGATGAGTGTGGAGTATTGAGTGTGGAGTGTTGAGTTTGGAGTGTTGAGTGTGGAGTGTGAAGTGTTGAGTGTTAAGTGTAGAGTGTGGAGTGCTGAGTGTGAAGTATTGATTGTTGAGTGTTGGGTGTGGAGTATGGAGTGTTGAGTTTGGAGTGTGGAGAGAAGTGTTGAGTGTGGAGTGTTGAGTGTTGAATATTGAGTGTTGAATATGAGTGTTGAGTGTGGAGTGTTAAGTGTGGAGTGTTGAGTGTCGAATGTGGAGTGTGGAGTGTTGCGCATGGACATTGTTATATGCGCTCCGTCATCATCTTCAGCAGACAGCAAAAGGTCTACATTCTGATAGGGCTAGTAGCAGTTTGATTAGATGTCAGTCTTGCGATACTTGCCACTCTGTGCTAAGCATGTCTGTCTGTCTGTCTGTCTGTCTGTCTGTCTGTCTGTCTGTCTGTCTGTCTGTCTGTCTGTCTGTCTGTCTGTCTGTCTGTCTGTCTGTCTGTCTGTCTGTCTGTCTGTCTGTCTGTCTGTCTGTCTGTCTGTCTGTCTGTCTGTCTGTCTGTCTGTCTGTCTGTCTGTCTGTCTGTCTGTCTGTCTGTCTGTCTGTCTGTCTGTCTCCACACTTCTATAATTGCTTTGTGAGTCGGACATCTCAGGACGCTGCCAAAAATCAAATCAAGAGAGAGATAGAGAGAGAGAGAGAGAGAGAGAGAGAGAGAGAGAGAGAGAGAGAGAGAGAGAGAGAGAGAGAGAGAGAGAGAACGCGCGTTAAAAAAAAAATCAGTTGTTCACAATTGCACCCTAACCAGTCAACCCTAGCATGCACATGGAGGGGACACCGTCTCTTTCACTAGGCAATTAGATTTGAGTTGGGCCGGGGTGTTTTAAAGGGGCAATTTTTCTACCCCTTTAGTCGTACTGCGCCAGCATGGATAGACCTTTATCGTTCCCCGGTCCCTACTAATCGGTTTGAAGTTTTGAACGGAATAACATCATGGCACACGGGTAGTAACCCATTAGTGCTCGGTTCTTCTTCTAACTCAAGTCTAAGTCCCGAAGAAGCTCAGCACAGTGCACGGGCTCTGTAGCACCGGCAAAGATCCTGAAAAACTGTGGGTAGATTTTATAACTCAAAATTTTTGCCCGGGCAGCGCCGTTAGGCTACTCTTTTCGATTTCCAAATGTTAAGGGATGTTTTACGCGCGCAACAATGCACACTAGAGTCCGATCTCACTACTCAGAGACCAGGGGGAATTTCTAGAAGTCTAAGTCCATGTGAAAAAATCCCAGCCCTGAGCGGGGATTGAACCCGGAACCTCTAGCACTCGAGACGGACACCATGCCTCGAGACCACGTAGCCTCACCCCCCCCCCCCCCCCCCTTTTTTTCCCCTTCTAATATAAACTAATTACATTGTGTGTTTAATAATAGTTTGTTCTAAAGTGTTTATAGAATTGACTATTTCAAAAGTGTTTAAAATAAAGTAAATTTGTCTTAAATTGTTTCTAAAAATGGGCATCAGTATTTTCCAATGGTCCGCTTTAGCACAGTCGATAGGAGACTCGCTTTCAAATCCAGCTGCTACTCGATGCAGCATACGGCAGGTGTTCAAAACTGGGTGGTTTCCGGGGTTGATTTACCTCTGGGTAATGGATACAAGAGTTAACACTCTGGAGTAAATAGAGAAAAGCCACTGTAGCTACGAAGTTTCGTGCGTACTGCGACACAGGCGGACAGTAACTTATCAGATGTCCATACTGGTGGTAGAGCACTTATGGTTTATAACCGCGTGCATTGAGACTGGTTCCCATCTCCCGACTTTTCCTTTCCTTTAGTGTTTCAAATTAACTTTTTTTGAAGGTAGTCAATGGGATAATCTTTTTTCAAGATTTCTTAAAAGATAGAATGGTTTTTTCAACAGATACACAGAAAGATCGATTAGGAGAATTGGTTTCAGCAAACGAACCTTGGCTCAGTGAAGAACTTCCCTTCAACTTCACAGCCACGGGTTTTCTGGGCGCCAAAAGACAAGAGATGCTCACAAACCCACTGCTGCTGAGGGTTGGTATTGTGACGTTATGTCATGTGTTCGTATGTTATCCCGGGTAGGTCCCGGGTTGTTAGCGTCCTTCGGGTATTTATCCAGGTAATGATGGTGTGTTAAGAAACGAGCAGGCAGATAGACTGGCGTTCTCCACCAGGTGGGGTGAATTTAAGTATGATAAGCTAGATGTTGTAGGGGCCCTTTGTAGGCGAGTGAACAGTGCAGAGGCACAAATAGATCTTTACAGTCTAGGAAGAATGGAGCTGCGAGGAGCTGCCAAGGGATCTCGCCAACGCTAAACTCTCAAGAAAATAACGAGAGGGATAAACAATCAGACAGTTACTGGTACTATCGGAATTGGAACTCTTTGCCTGCTGCTTAATATGGGAACAGAGCGTTTCTGAGAGTGTCCCGAGTGCTGTGATGTTGATTCTTAATTCAGCATTTATCTGATATTATCACAATCGAAGCTACCCCATACTGGGAATTCCCATGCGTGCTTAGTCATCGAATGCAGCCGCACTTCAATGTACCTTTATTGATTGTGCAATATATCCTTGTCATTCTTGCTTGCTACATACATCCAGTTTTAACATATGGATGTGAATCCTGGACAATCGGTAGGCAGGCCAAACAATTTTTAGAAGCCTCAGAGATGTGGTTTTACAGAATAATGCTTAGAATACCCTGGACAGCCAAAAAGAGCAGCCAAGAGGTTTTAAAAGAGGCGGGAGCCCGAAGACAACTTATCACAGACATCAGAAGGAGACAGTCATCATTTTTCGGCCATGTTTTGAGAAGAGGGAAAATAGAACATGTTGTGACCCCTGGAAAGATCTGTGGAAAAAGGGATAGAGGAAGACAACGAGAGAAGATGCTTGACAGTCTTGTTGCATGGAATGGAGGTGTATCGGCACCCGAACTGACACATGCTGCAGGAGATCGCAGATTATGGTGATGCATGATCGCTCACGCCAGTCGGCAAGGCACCTGATGATGATGATGATGTTGATGATGATATTGATTATCCCCATGGGAGTTTGGTTATAGTGTCTCCTGTCTGAAAGAGGAAATATGTTGGCCATGTCAAGCGCCACGGCGGACAGGGAAAATTATAAAAGCAGAAGGCATGGTTCAAGGAAGAAGGGGCAGGGGCCGAGCAGCACGAAAATTAGTACATTAAATAAACGACTCCTTGAGTATGAAAGTCCACGAGGCGAGAAAACTGACGAGAGACAGTTTTTTTTTTTAGGCAGACGGTGATGAGAGTGATGTTCTGCAAAGGATGGCGATGTCTTCTGTCTTGACCATAAAGACTTCATAGACGTACTTCACTAAGCTTTACTCCCAGGTCACTCAATCGTATTAGTGTCAGCGATTCATCAATATTCCCCAACCTAGTTCCGTACAACGTTGATGATTTCAGCTCTGTGCTGGCTTCTTCTCGTTTATATTGGTGCATTACCTGCCAGCTGGTCAGTTCTTTCATTGCCCTTTACTCCCGCTTACCCATTTGTGTGAATGAAGAAGATGGAGGTTAAATGCTACTCCCGAAAGCTTTCTGCCCAATCGGAACTTATACGGACTGTTGCGATTTTCTGAAGTATGTTCACGAAGTGTGAAACGATTATCACGTGTGTGTTTGCTTATTTGTATTGCAGAAAGTGTTAAGAAGTGGCAAAAAAAAGCTCCAGAGTTGAGGTCTGCATGATTATAATCTTATTGATGAGAATGAAACAGGTGCAAAACCGGGAAACACCGTTCACCCGTAAAGAGCGATAAAGCACAATTATACCGATTGCCATGGAACGTTGTTGCGTGGAGAAAACAAACTGTGAAGGGAATGAAGGAAGAAATGATTGCAGAAAGGATGAGAGCTGGGCGACTACGAAGAAACACACTAAACACAAATGATAGCAACAAAGGTGCTGAAATCCCATGCTCTGATTGTGGGAGACTTTTCCTAACGCAGGCGGTTCTTGCCAGTCACACTCGCCAACGCCATGAGCTGTGAGACGCATGTCTCCTTATTGCAGCATATAACACTATCGTCAGGAAAGACGGAAAGTTGCTAGCAACAGCAGTTAATAATGGGGCACCACAAAAGGGTTACAAAGGACACGTTGTCTAATGTTGATATTTCTTTGCAAGACCTCCTACTTCTTCTTCTTCTTCAGCCCTGAGGTTCACAGTTGCAGATATCACCCGCCTCCTCTCATCTGACTGGCCTTCTCTTTCCAGCTGGTGACACCAAGTGTTTGAAGGTCTGTCTGGATATAATCTCTCCACAGTCTTCTTGGTCTGCCTCGTGGTCTACAACCATTTAGCTCCCTTGTGAATACAGTTTTAACCTCTCTTGGACACGCAACTAGACACCTTTATAAACTGTTTGTTTGCTTAGTGCTCTCTGTTATTTCATTGACAACAGAATCGCGTTGGTCGCGGAAGATCCTCCTCTGATGCCATTTTTGGAAGTAATTACAGATGCCCTTGGACAATGGCCAACGGTTTGTATCCTCATTAACGACCTTATTTACTATCAGAGTCATTGCTGCTTTCATCCAGTGTTCATCATTTGCATAAGCATCAACCCCACTACAATAATTAGGTCCCTTAATCACTGTTACCATCACAACTGCACCCTTGTGTGGTGATTTCCAATGGCCAATGCCCTTTAACACGCATATCATCAACAGTGACTAATGAAGAGGTTTTGCTGAAAATGACAGGAGCGGCTGGCCGAACATTTAGAACGTTAGGCTCTCCAGCGGGAGACCCAGGTTCGAATCCTCGGTAAGGCTGGGGATTTTTTTTTTCTGTCGGGAGGGGGGGGGGGGGGGAATGAAATGCTCACCTGCACAGTCGTGGCGACAGCACTAGTAATGCGGCCGTAAATCCTTAGGCACAAAGGACCCCCCCCCCCCCCCTTTCCCTCTCTGCCTACACCGCAAAAGAGATATGATAAAAGCAGTAGTTGGCAGTTTGGAAGTTTTGGCTGAAATTGAATTGATTTTGCGGAAAAGCACGAATATCACCACCAGGTTGTAATCCACGGCTATTCGGGTAAGTCTACATAGGAGCCACAGTGTTAAAACTTAGGGATCGTCACGGGCCAGAGGCTCGAGTCCCAGTGTAGAAAGGTCATCAATATGATACAATTGGCAATGATATGCGCGCCACTTGCTAGGTCTACGCAGTCCTGATTCGCCCCGCGTGCGGCCAGTTGAATAGCCTTGCCGTGTCAATCAAAACACAATGTGTCAACTGCAGAAGAAGGAAATCACCTCTTATATAGTTACAAATCTAGTGTTATCCGTAAAACCAAATCTCCGCAGCTTCCAAATAAGTTTTCATTGATTTACCAACTGTGCATGATTCACTTCCGAACAGCAATCTAAATTCATAAAAATTTAAAGTTTCGTTGGTTGAAATAGCTAAACTCCGAAAGTTCTTCGCCGATTGCTTTCAAATTTTCACACAACATTGCATTCGACTACGCGCGTGTTTTAATATAAGTGTCGCATAAATCACAAACTACATAGCTACAGCGACGATCTCATCGCTTTTTGTTTCGTTGGTGGCTCGGAATTGTTTTAATTCCACAACTTTGACTACTTAGCAGGGCTGCCAATGCACGCCCCGTGATTCGTACCAATTGCTTTGAAATTTTCAATTTTTCCCTTGAAAAGTTTCACACAACGTTGCATTCGAATACGCGCATGTTTGTATGTAAGAGTGTCAGACAAGACATGACCTACACAGCCCCAGCGACGATCACATCGCCATTTTGGTTTTGTTAACCGACGATCCAATTTATTTATTTTTCTTTGCCGTGTTCGCGGCAAAGTTATTATTTACGCTGATAATCGACCTTTGACTGTTGACCTTAGAAATCTGCATGAAGCTGGTCGAAGAGTTGTTGACAAAATGTATGGAGATTTTAATATGTGGGCATTGGTTAACATTTCGCAAACCTCCACAAACAGATTTAGCTCCGCCCATTTACACACTAGATCACTTTTCATTCATAGCTGATTAGGGTCGCCCACTTTCGTGGAGGCTACAGGGGTGTTCTACTGTTTGTTCAACAAGTTTTATACCTTGTCTTCCATTTACGTTTTCATTCCCCCAAAAAAAAAAAAAGAGAATTCGTCTGACATAGGTTGCATCACTCTCGTAAAAAAAAAGGGTTGGGGGTGTTAGGGCCAGTGCTGCATATCGCTGACATGCTGAAATATACAACACGTAATATCAACGGTATCGCGGAACACACCCATAACCATCCGTAAAGTTGACGAGGCTCAGCAACTACCAATCAAAAGTGACCTAGTGTGTCAATAGGCGGGCCAACTCTGTGTGTGCATATTTGTGTAATGTTTACCCTGGGCATTTCTTCGGTGAGGGAGAGGGCAGTATTCGATTAATTTGGGAGGACAGGGTGTTGGGGGAAAGGGGGGGGGGGGATTTTGACAGACACTGTTAACTGAGACAGCTTAGTCCATTTTAGACTGGGTGGACACGGATGCCAAGGTCAATTAGAAATCGTCAGTTGATGAATTTAAAATCCTTCGGAGAGGGAGAGAGTAGTCGGTGGATGTGGGGGGGGGGGTGTATGGGGGAGGTGGGGGTGGTATGCCAGTCACTTTTAACTGAGAGAGCTTAAAACATGATTTTAATTAGGCTTAAAACATGATTTTAAAGTTCTCATTTTTTTATGCGAGTCTGTTGGTGATTCAGAAGTACAGTAGTCAGCTTTACTTTCAGATGTTAGAGGAAAGAAAAAACAAACTTAGGAATGTGGTACACAAATAACTATCTTTGTAAGTCCCAGTAATACAATTTAAACCATCACTAATAAAAAGACATTTATATGTTGCGTGTTCTAGAGTCGATAAATCAGAATATCTGCATCGATTGTGATATTTACACATATCAGACATGTGCGCTTTCATTTTTCTTTCTTTTCCATTTCGAAAGACTGAGCCACAGCAACGCGTGGCTGGTACTGCTAATATATATATATATATATATTCCTGAAACAATATTCTTAAGATTCAAACTTTATAATTTATCAGGAAATATTTTGTTCTGACCGATTCAGAGTGGAATGAAGTGTATAAGTTTACTGAGCAATGCACTAGTAACAAGACAAATTGGTGCACTTTGAGACTTGTCTGTATCGTGCTGTTTTGGATGCTTGTTGTGATACTGTTAGTTCTCGCTTTGATTGACATTTCATTTTCAACAGTCCTCGTATTGTCTGCAGCTTTAAATGGTTGGGCGGGAGTATTAGACGAACCACAGCAAGTGACCAGAAGATCGCAGAAAGACAACACCGACTACTTGAGCTTAAACAGGGTTTGTTGACATTGTTATTACTTTTTTTTAAAAAGTGTATGTTCCTTTTAGCTGCAGACGGTTTGTCTTGCGTTGATTTCGACAGTCTCGCCAAGAGCTGACCGTTGAGTGAGCAATGGCAGACTACTGAACGTAAAATTTGCATAGAAAAACCTCAATAGACCCCCCCCCCCCTCTCCCCCTCCAATGCTAAGGTTATTTCTGAAACGTCCTGTAAAAGATACACAACTAACTTAAACTTTAATATTTATCTCCTGGAGTTCACTTTCATCTTTTATCTACTTATCTTCCAAGTATATATATATATATATATATATATATATATTATATATATATATATATATATATATATATATATGTGTATATATATATATATATATATATATATATACACATATATGTATATATATATATATATGTGTGTGTGTGTGTGTTTGTGTGTGTGTGTGGTGTGTCTTACACAAAGACTTGCTTCATCGCCTCTCAAGAAAGGGCCAATGTGTCACATTCAGACTAACGAAAGCGCAATCACAATCACAACTTCGCTGCGCAGGTCATATAGTCCGCATGCCTGACCGCCGACTGCCAACAAGATTTTTTCTGTGGTGAGCTACAAAAAGGAAAACACTCTCAGCATGGAGAGAAGAAACGTTTCAAGGACAGCCTCAAGATCTCACTGAAAGACTTGTCTTCTTCTTCTTCTTCACTTCCTCTTTCACCGCTGTGGGTGTCGAGGGAGATATAAGGTTCTGTTTCTAGCTCTTCTGGCCGCCTCGACCATAGGCACATCGTGCTGTTGTAGAGTTTCTCTGATGTTATCATTCCATCTTGTTCTTGGTCTACCTCGTGCTTTACGACCTTCTTCTCTTTCCATGTATGCTTTGTATGGTATGGTGTCACAAGGCATTCTCTCTAAGTGGGCAAACAATTTCACTTGCTGTCTTCGTATGTAATCCAGAATTGGTTCTGTGCCGACTTTTTCTCTTATGACCTCATTCCTGATCTTATCTCTTATGGTCACTCCCACAGCCCTTCTCAGACATCTCATTTCCGTGGTTACTAATTTTCTTTTATGGTTTGTTGTGAGTGACCATGTATGGCACTGGTAGCACAGAGTTGGAATAAATATACTTTGAATTAGATGTCTCTTTGTGCTGATTGAGATTGTTTTATGCTGTAAAGACTTCTGTATTGACCCTAAAACCTGGGAAATCGGTGCATGTGACAACTCATCCTGACGCTCCTCTCTTCAACGAAGAGTTGTGACCCATATAGCTGCTAGGACTGCAACAGCAATTGAGTAAAGACAAGCAAGGAAAGACAGATTTACACGTATTCATACATACCAACACTCATACATACAAACACTCACACATACAGACACTTATACATACAAACACTCATACATACACACACTCAAACATGCATACACGCGTAAACATAATCTTGCATACACCTATTCACGCACTTACATATATTCATACATACCAACACCCATACACACTAACACTCATACATACAAACTCTCGTACATACAAACACTCAAAAATACAAATACTCATACATACAAACACTAATTCATACACAGGCCTACGTATACACATATGCACGATCACTCATCCATACACATGTATGCACCCACACTTATGGATAAACAAACATAGACCCACTTTTACACACATACACACATGCACACATATCTACACTCTCTCTCTCTCTCTCTCTCTCTCTCTCTCTCTCTTTCTCTCCATCTCTCTTTTTTTTTTTCATACACACTTTTTTGTACAGAATTACGCTAGAGAAAACAGAAGTTTGCTATTATTTTGTAAACTTTCGGTTTCCATTCTGTTGGTGATATCAACAGAAAGCGGTCTGTCTTCAAATTTCCTGCCGTTGACTTTAAACCCACGAACTACGTATTATGATACTGTTTTTCTTCACTCTTCCTTGTTCGCCGGCTGTAAGTTCCGGCGGAAAGTCCTGGGTGTTCGTCCATTTGGACTTTGACTTTGTGCCAGGGTCGTTGTTTTGCATGGACATCCTTTTAACTGACTGTAGTTGGTCGTTCCTTGCCACTCGGGCAGATGTACTCCGACTTCGAAGGAAGTCCCCAGTTAGTAGACTCCTACGACATGCGTGTTGGGGAGGCAGTGGGTCTATTCTTGTTTTCCCCACAATGGGGCCCCGGAATCCACAGGGGGAACACTGTGTTTAAAATATTAGGGCACCCGACTGTAGATAACAGTATTATTTTCTTTGCCTCACTTGTGGATGTTTCCCCTCGAAAAAATATACGAGGGGAAGTCAATAAGTAAGTCGCAAATGGTTGGGGAAAAAACAAACTAAAGACGATAACAAGTTGAAACTCGTTGATTTTTACACATACACTGTACCTGTATTTTTTCAACATAATATCCACCAACACTGATGCACGTGTTCCATCGTTTTTTTCAGTCCTCACAAATGTGCTGCATAGAACTGCGTGCTCTGTTCTCTAAACCACATTTTCACTTCACATTCAACTTCTGCGTCATTCGCGAAATGTCTCCTGCCAAGATGGGTTTTCAATGGACCAGAAAGGTGTAAATCGCTAAGGGCTAAGTCGGGGCTGTAAAGTGGATGTTCCAGACCCCCCCCCCCCCCCCCCCCCCCCCCCCCCCCCCAGATGGTTAACCGAGCCGTATGTGGTCTGGCATTATCATGTAGGAGCAGTACGCCTCTAGTCAGCAGGCGTGGACGTTTTCCTAGAAATGCATCATAAAGCATCGATAGAACGTTACAGTATGAATCAGCATTCACATTCTCACCTTTTTTTTTAAAAATAAAAATTTGTTAAAAGCACTCATTGACAATGCCAGAACACTGTCAACGTAACTCTTTCTGCTGATGGCGTAGGCCCGGCTCTCTAGCGTAGTTGGCTAAACCGGATTGCGCGGTGACGAACTCCTTGTGGTCCGGGTTCAATCCCGGGGGTGGGCAGGAAAGCCACATTTTCTTCCAGATTTACTGTATTTACAATGGAATCAAGGCCGAAAGGTTGCGATATCCATAATGCGATATCCATAATACCGAGCCTAAGGGTTAACAACTCATGGATTCTGGATACTAAAACAAACAAACAAACAGTTGATGGCGTAGCCTTGAATTTTGTAATAAAAGGCGAAGAAGGATGTTTCCATTGCTTTGAAGCACGCTTTGATTCGGGCTGGTAGTTATGCAACCATGATTCGTCCCCAGTAATAATTATGTTCAGTATGTCTTCTCCGTCATCAGCACATTGACATAGATGCTGGAAGGACAGGCCTAATCGGTTGATTTTGTTTTCGTCCATCAGTTGTCTGGGTATCCACCTTGAGCACACTTTGAAATATTAACAGGACGACCAGATCGGACTTCAACACAATTTTAGAGCGTCCTTGAAAAAGATTTTTTTTTTTTACCTAGCTATGCACCGCTTTACTGGATAAACAGTTGTAAGCATAAACAGTTGTAAGCATAAACAGTTGTAAGCATAAACAGTTGTAAGCATAAACATGAAGTATATCCTCATAAATGTTTTCTGCAGGCAGCCCTTTTGGTTCCCCCCCCCCCCTACCTCCGCCTACACACACATACAAAACGCACAACAGCACGTTACTCTTTGAGGGTACACTCTGTAAGTACAATAGCCGTTTTGTTTCTGTGTTGCGAATACGCATGCAACACTTAGCGTCATCTTACGTACGGAGACGTAAAGTTCCATGTTAGTGTCATCTAATGACACCTTTAGAAGCCATCAGCTACATTTTCCTGCCATCCCATAACCATTAGTGACTTGCTTATTGACTTCCCCTCGTATATGCTGGTACTCAGCACAACGTGTTTAAAAAAAAGATGCCATTACATAAAGGGAATAAAACAGGTGGCGGCACTTACCACTAGTGTCTAATGATGGTGATTTGCGAAACAAATCGTTACGTTCAATCAGAATCCCCGAAGAGGGAGCCGTATGTTAAACTGTGACTCGGTTATGTAAAAATGGCTTAGCATTTATCACCGTCAAGATCCATGAAGAGAACTCTTGCAGTGTGGATGCGATCACTAGAGACAGACTCAAATACTGTCATGACAGGTGACGAGGTCGTCTACCGGCGAGGCAATGGGCGACCTGGTCGCCGATAACTAAGTGTCTGCTACAGCAGCCATTAAAAGATTAATGCCTGTAAAAGGTGTAAGCACTGATCCCTGATAGGGTTTAATTTTAAAGGCTTACTGGTAATACACTTAACAAAGGCATGACGGGCTTGCTGACGTAGTTGGTTAAACCTGACTGCGCCACGACCGGGTGACGAACTCCTTGTGGTCCGGGTTCACGCCCTGAGGTAGGCAGAAAAGCCACATTTCTTCCAGATTTACGATATCTATCATGGAATCAAGGCCGATGGGTTACGATATCCATAGTACCGGGCCAAATGGTTAAAAATTCGTGGTTTCTAGATATTTAAAAGAACATAAACAGAGGGATCATTGTTTGCTGCTTTACATTATTATTTTATACACACTGCCAATTATATGACACGAATCTGTAGGAGAGACTAATGCCTCTGCTTCGAAACCCTAGGGAGCAGTGTCGGCAGCTATGATTTCATCGAGTGACAACCGAACGTTTAGAGAACAGAAAGGGCGTGTTCAGCAGCTGGGTTCTGTTGGCGGCGCCAAGAGACAAGAACGGCCTCTACCGAAAATATTTAAGCCGGGGACCGTGTTTGGAATGCCACACAAGTAAGATTCACATACAGTAGTTTTTAACCTTTTTATGACGCCTTCTTTGAGTGAATAGAAAGATCCCCACGCCCCAGCGCTCGGTCCCCAAACCAAAGTTAAAAAAATGTGTTTAAAAAAAATAAGAATAAAAGTTGACAGCAAGACAAAACCCAAGCACCGTTAACAAGAATTTCCAGAAAATGTCCACATAAAATGTCAAGAAACATTTTTTTTTTAAATCACCAACAACTAGTAATCTAGTGTCACAACATCAGTGTGATGGCTGACATTGTTTTGTCTTGATAAGATTAGTTTTTTTTTTTTTTTAGTATTTTTTTTTTTTTTTCGTTTTTGAAAAGTTTTATTGGTGGATTCTGTATGTGTATTTACAAGTGTTGCCTTTTGTCAGTGTTAGTGTTCAATGTTGTACAAAATCATATACATGCATATTAATCAAACAAACATTTGGTAAAAATTCTAAGTGTCTAAGAAGGGCTATTGGGTTATGTTGGAGGGGTCTTTATATCAAATGAAGTGGGAGGGGGAGTGGGAGGGGGGAGGGGGGGGTCTTTATATCAAATGGGGGAGGGGGAGTTTAAGGTTATTGGTTGTTATTGCTGTGCTATAATTTCGCTTATGTACATATATACACAGTCATTTGTGAATAATCTTATCTAAATATAGTGTGTGTTAATGAAAGAAGTGAAAGTTGAGAAGGATTGATATAGGGAGGAAGAAAATGAAGAAGAATTGTGTGGAGTAGAGTCAGATAATGTTAAGTGAGTATTTTTGTTAACAGGCACTGGAAGTGATGCTGCAGGTGATTGGAGGTATACTTTTTGTTTTCATGTACTGCTTTGCATCTGTACCTCCATATCATCGCTCTATACTCCGCCAATGCTGACAAAACTGTCACGTGACATTCTCTTGTTGTTTTTGGAATTGTGTATATCTGTATATATCTGTATATATCTGTATATATCTGCTTGTGCTGTTGTGTATTTGTTGATGATGTTTTGGAGGTTTTGAAGTGTGGTCTGTATTGTTGTACATTTATAAAATATGTGTTCTTGTGTTTCTTGTATGTTGTTTGAACACAGCTTGCATGGTATTTTACATTTTCGAATTGTTGCTGTGTATTCTTTAGTGGGAGTAAAATTTAATAGTAATCTATATGTTATTTCTTTTGCTACTGGTGTGATGTATGGTTGGTGTGTGTTTACAAAAGACATATAGTGGTTTGTCCTAGTGTATCTTGTTCCTCTTTTGATTTTAGTGTACAGAGGTATTTCTTGTTTAGTTACTAAGTGTGTGTAAATTTGTTTTGTTGTCTTTTGTACTAATGTTTCATTTCCTTTGAGATATTTGAGACATGTTCTATAAAAGGGAGGTAGGGGTCCTTAAAAGTGTGGAGAACTGTTATCTATTTTTTTTTTAATGGTGTAATCTCAAGGCTAGATAGTAGTTGCCTAAAGATGTTGTTCTGGTTGGGTTATGATCTGCCCTATGTGTCTTAGTCTGAATGATTTAATTTTTGTGTTTATATCGTGTACGGCTACACCACCTCTCTCTTTTTTTTTTTGAATTAATATTTTCTGACTAACTTTGTATGCCGTACTGCCAAATAAGAAGGCTCTGATGATTTTATTTATATTTTTAATTGTCTGCTTTGGGGGATCCATTACTGTGGTTATGTAAATTATTTTAGGTATTATATGTGTATTTATTATTCTGCTTCTATCGAATATTGTGGACTTTCTGTATTTATATAAGTTTATTATGGTGTTTACATCTGTGGTTAATTTTTCCCATGTTTGTGTGTGCGGTCTCCCTGGGTTGTTTTGGAAGTTAATTCCATATATTTTCAATGTGTGTGTATTTATTATGTCTGGCGGAAAATCTGATTTGTACCTCCAACTGCCTAATCCCATAATGTGCGATTTGTTGACATTTATTTTTGCCCCACTTGCCTTCCCAAATTGTATAAAAGTATCTAAAATTTTAAGTATTGATGTATCTTTCGAAGGGAAGAAAGCTGTATCATCCGCATAAGCGATCAGTTTTCTTTCTCCCGCCCAGGGTATTTTAGTGCTTATTATGTTTGTATCTTGTCTAATTTTCTCCAATAAGGGCTCTAGTGTTAAAACGTATAGAAGTGGAGAAAGTGGACATCCTTGTCTCACAGATCTTGTAAGCCGGAAACCCGTAGTAAGTGTGTGGTTCACCAACACCTTACTCTCGGGGTCCCTATACAAGATTTCAATCCACTGTCTACAACGTGGTCCTATGTTATTTTCCCCTAGCAGTCTAAAAAGGATATTATTGGACAAAGCACAACTAAGATCATTCTTTGCATCGGACAGGCTACAGTGTTTTTGTTTTTCTGGCCGTTAAAGCTGAATTGAAATCCAGATTCACAAATGTATGCAGAGGAAACTTACACAAGAGCATGCATAGGTAATGTGGCTACATAAAGGTGCACTGCAAGATACTACACACCCCCACCACCCTCCTTCAACTGCCCCCAAAAATGCAAACCTAAAAATGGTAAATTGTCTTTAACTCTTTGAGTCCCAGGGAGTTTAGCGTCAGAGGCCCAAGGGAAAGTCAAAAGAGACGTAAAATCGGCGCATCTTGCCTTCACTGGGCTTCTAGATAGAAACCTATAAACGTTTGATGCGTTCTTTTTGACACAGAGATAACTCTCAATTCAACTCCTGCTCAGTTGCTGTTTCATAGATAAAATGTACCAGTATGTCAATAATGAAAGTGTTTCTGGCTAACTTACAATACCAGCCATGAAACCATAAATCGGGTAGATAAAAATTGAACTTAGTCATCAGAATATCTAAATGTAACTTAATTGTAACTGCAAGTTCACTATTTGCACACTCCTTGCATTGTAACAGTTCAAGACGAGGAACATAATTACAGTTCTTGTCTTCAGTTCGTGTATGCCTGTATTATGTATGTATGAATGTATGTATGTATGCCTGTATGTTTGTATCTTTGTATGTATGTTTGTGTGTATGTATGCCTGTGTGTATGTGTGTATGCATGTTTTTTTGTATGTATGTGTGTATGTATGTATGCCTGTATGTGTGTGTAAGTGAGTGGGTGTATGTATGCACGCGCGGGTTTTAGCATGCACTTTACAACTCATGCTTTTGTGTACTTTTATAATATTCATAATATGCATATCATCATATGATCATAACATGCTTTATTAGTAAAATACAATTGCTGTGTGAAAGATGGTTAACTGGAAGGGCCGAATGTAAGACGGACCTGCGTGCCCAATTTGTGACCCTTTGAAAATAAAGTTCGTTCGTTCGTTCGTTCGTTCGTCGTTTCTGTAACTCAGATTCTTCCACAAAGACTCCGGATGGCATATTAAAATAGAATAATATTGCTATTTTTTTTTTTTAATTCTACAATTCAAGTTATTCAATACTTTAAAAAGAAAAAAAAAAGTAATCATCGATGCAATTTGAAGCCAAATGAGTTTTCAGTAAAATAAAATGATACATATTTATGACTCAGAGAACTCAGAATTCAACCCACATTTCTCTTTGATAACTAACGAATCACAGTATTAAAAAAGTAGAACATTATGTTTGGCTTCAAGGCGATTGCAAATTGAAGGAAACATTAGTGCATTAATTGTGCTTGATTTCATAAAATTCGCCACTTTTATAGATTCTTTCATTGCCCCGTTTAGTTTGCCGCGGCAAAGATTTGGTTGCCAGAGTCTCCCTGTAATATACACTGTGACTGCCAGTAAAGTCGGGATTTTCCTTCCTTTTAACCATTGTAATCTGTCTTTATCATCTGAGACAATAAAGATAATTCTCAAAAGATATATAGATCCTAACTTGATATTAGGAAGTGAATTATGGACAGTTGGTGGAGTAGTGAAACAATTTTGGAAGCTGCGGAGATGTGATTTTTTTTAGAGGAATTACGAGAATATCTTGGACAGATAAACAGAGAAATGAGAATGTCTTTAAAAAGACTGCCTAAAGTAGAGAACTGATTTC